TTTTTTTTGTCTTTTTTCCATGTCCGGCAATGGATCGCAACCCTCAGTGTCGTCCCCGCACTGGACCGGGACCGGCAACGGGATCGCAACCCTCAGTGTTGCCCCCGCGCCTCGCTCAGCCAGTGAGCGGGAACCGGTCTGTATGTGGGATCCGAACCCTCGACGGGAGCGCCGCCGCACTTCCCAAGCGGCGCACTAGCGCAGTGCGCCACCGGGCCGGCCTTATTATATAATTTTAAGTTTAAAAAGAGGAAGATACAAACTGAACAAACAGTATAATCCCAAATACACGAAAGGGTGAAATGAACTATCTGAAACATTGAAAGGGCACTGGGTATTGGGCTTACAGGATTTCTTTTTTCCTTTCTACCTATATTTCTTGGCACTTTGCAAATTTTCTGTAGTAAATATACAATGCCCTTAATCAGGAAAATAAAGTACTTCAAAACATATATAAGTGCATACTAAGAAAAGAAAACCTGAATACAAAAAAATTTAGTTATTAAGAGACCAGATATTTCCTTAGCAACAGAATACAGCTGTTGAATTTCACAATTGGAAGGATTTCAGGGATCTTGCTTTCAATGCTAATTGTTCTCTCCTAAGTTACATAATCAGGAAAATAATATAAGAAGTATGTTTTATACAGATAATTTTTCACTGACCACCTCATTTTTAAAATATCCATCAGCCCTCACTCTTCAAAAAAAATTAATTATGGGCCGGCCCGTGGCTTACTCGGGAGAGTGTGGTGTTGATAACACCAAGGCCCCGGGTTCGGATCCCATATAGGGATGGCCGGTTCACTCACTGGCTGAGCGTGGTGCTGACAGCACCAAGTCAAGGGTTAAGATCCCCTTACCGGTCATCTTTTAAAAAAAAAAAAAATTAATTATTTTTAGTTTTATAAACTATCTCTTTTATCACAGGAAAATTTACTCATTATTTACACTACTATATAAATGGCCAACCAAAAATTGACCTATATGATAAAGAATATAACTAATTAGAAGTATAAAAGTGAAAAACGGGCTGGCCCGGTGGCGCACTGGAGAGTGTGCCGATTGGGAGCGCGGCAGCGCTCCCGCTGAGAGTTCGGATCCCATGTGGAGACCGGTTCCCGCTCACTGGCTGAGTGCGGTGCAGGCGCAACACCGACGGTTGTGATCCCGTTGCCGGTCCCCAGTACGGGCGCGACACCAAGGGTTGCGATCCCGTTACCGGTCAGTAAAAAAGACAAAAAAGAAAAAAAAAAAAAAAAGTGAGAAACAATCTACAAATGCTTAAGATTAGATTTGTCCAGAGAGGGCTGGCCAGTTAGTTCAGTTGTTTAGAGCACAGTGTTATAACACCAAGGTTAAGGGTTCAGATCCCCATACCAGCCAGCCACCAAAAAAAGAAAAACAAACAAAAAAAACTGTCCAGAGACTTGAAATAAAATCAAATAAATTACAGCACTAGAAGCAGTTAATGTAAAATACCAAGAAAAATTTAGACTAAAGCAACTTATATTAAAAAAAAAAAAAACTATACATGGAAGGCATAATGATGTAAAATCTGATTTACCTTTTAAGCATATGCAAAAGGAGAGCTGTCAAAGTGACAAGCTAATCTTCTTATCTCTCTAGTGGCTAAAAATACTAAAATGACTCTATCATATGAATATACCCTTCACACAATAAAGATCCATCATGTTTCTAAAGCCAGAAAGTCACAAAGACCCAGATGGCTAATTTCTCAAAAATACAGCTAATTACTCACCACCACTCTGGATACTCTAACCCAGCACTGCCCAACAGAACCTTCTGCAATGACGGAAATGTTCTATATGTGTGCTATCCAATTTGATAACCACATCTAACTACTGAGCACTTGAAATGTGACTAGCCTGACAGAGGAACTAAATTTTTAAATTTTACATAATTTTAATTAATTTTAATTTAAATAGCCACATGTGGCTGATGGCCACCTTATTGGACAGTGTAGCTCTAATACCTCTTTGTATACATAAATATATATATAAAGTGCTTGCCTTAATCGGTCTGTTTAATATTTGTTCACATTCATTCTAAATAAACTTCAATAGTTTAACTTCCTCAGTAAATATATGATTGATAGATAAATGCATAATCAATGTTTGATAAAAGAAGATACCTTACCAGCTCCATCTGAATCTTCTACCATTGGATTTATTTCTACCATAGTTGCATCATATTTCAAAAACAAGTCATAAAGCTTGACCATGTTTTCTGCTGCAGAATCCACAATATTAGGTGGAAACCCCATCTTCTGTGCAAGCTGAAAGCAATTTGTCTTTTTAGTATAGGCAGTTTGCATATGTCCAATCAATATTAAATTATTGTAAATAAAAACCTTATAGTTTATCATTTAAATAAGCATGAGTCATTTGTAGTCAAACATCAATCATTGATACAGCAGCTACTATTACTAAATGGTTAAATGAAACTTTTTACTCAAAATCCTCACAGGGCAGGTATTATGCCCATTTTACAGACCAGAAAGAGGTTCAGAGAGGTCAAGTGACTTGCCATTCACCTAGATTCCAGTTCCAGTGTTTATTCCATAGCCTCCATACTGCCTCTACGCCTTATGACCAATCTAAACTGAAAGAAGAGGCTTACATTTTATTAAAACTATAAATAAAAGGTGTATTGACAATTTCAATGGTCCAAACAGTGGCCAAAATATTTAATCACCCTCTTTTACCTTTTACCTAAAAGAGTAAAATTTAAAATTTTACCTAAAATTTATGAAGAGTGTCTACCAAGTCAGACAAGTATTATCACATTCATTCAAAAATCTACTGATACCTAAAATATCCAGGCACTGTGATAGGCCCAAAAGATACAGGCATTTAAGCTTCTAATCTAGTAGAGGAGTTTATACCCCTGAGCAGAGATCCCTAATTAGAGATACCTGTAGAGCTTTTTAAACAATACAGTATCAAGGTCCCAGCCCAGAAATTCTAGTTCACAAGTTCTACAGAGTACCAAGCATATATCATTTTTAAAGTTCCATAGATAATTTTGAATGATTGGTACAGAGGATACATGTCTATATGTTTATTCTAACAGTGCTGCCACTGCTCAGGAACACTATGGAAAATACTCTCCTGTTTTTTAACTGCTATCTAAGGCTGTAACACATTTTTTTGATTTTCAAAAATACAAAATCCTAAACTGTTTGAGCGTGAATATGATTTTTGCAAAGAGTCAAATGCCAATAAATAAAGTGAATAATCAAGCTAAAGACTAAGTTTTGGTTAAGACCTATTTCAAATAAAAAATAATAAAAAATACAGTACCATTACAAAAGATTTTCACTAGGTCACAATTCACTACTTTTAGGCTTAAACACTGAGAATTAGAACATAATTCTAATCAATTCAGTATGACATTCATTAGCCAAATGGTGCTAGGCACCATTTCTGTTCACTCAAAATGCTATAATCTTAGATTATTCTTTCAAGTATTCTCGTAAATTAAGTATTTTCTTCCTCATCTAAATTTCACTCTCCAGTCATCACTTTCACGTAACTTCCTAATGAATCAAATCTCTATCCCTTTTAGCCATTTATACTACTCACTTGCCTAAATTATTTGTTTCCCTATTCGTCAGGGAAATTTCTCTATCTCCTTTAAACCCTTGTGCCAGTCGAAATTCTTGTTCTTATACTACTTCAATACCATAAGTTTACTCTGACATAGTTTTCTCAAGAACACATGTTTAATTTCACCCAAAGTTTAATATTTAAAATTTTCTTTTAGGATAAGTCACTTACTTTTATATTCAAACCAAACAATTTAATTCAATAGCAGCATTACAAATATTATCAAGCAACTCACACAAGCCATAGTATTAAACTCCTTTGTGGGGTGGGGGGTAGAAGAAGCAAACAAAGACATTTGCTCCAGAGAACCAGCAAAATTGTAGGCAAAATTTACTGTGTATGTGCAGACATTGAAAGAAAGACAACAGCACTCAGTGGATTCTTAAAAGTGTACATAAATCCCCAAAAGGCAAAATCACTGATCTATCATAGAGATGTATAAGACAGTGTCCCTACCATTCCATACAATTTAGAGGAAACAAAGGAGGCAAAGGACCATTTTAAATGACACCATAGGGATGTAAAATCCTGACTATGAGAAACAATGAATGATAATCGCCCCAGTTTCTTCAACAAATAAATTGGAAAAAAAAAAAAAGAAAAGATGGAGAAAGCAAGAAAAGAGAAACCTATAAGTTAGAAAAAGACCTATGAGAGGGCCGGCCCGGTGGCGCACTGGATAGTGCGCCGCTTGGGAAGCGCGGCGGCGCTCCCGTCCGAGGGTTCGGATCCCACATACAGACTGGCTCCCGCTCACTGGCTGAGCGAGGCGCGGGAGCAACACTGAGGCTTGCAATCCCGTTGCCGGTCCCCGGTCCGGTACGGGGGCAACACTGAGGGTTGCGATCCGTTGCTGGACACGGAAAAAAGACAAAAAGACAAAAAAAAAAAGAAAAAGACCTATGAGACATATTAACCACTAGCAATGAAGGACTTTACATGGATCCTAACTCAAACAAATAGCAAAAGAAAAAACAATTTGAGACAATTAGAGAAACTTGAATGACTAATGATATTAAGGAATTACTAATTTTACTAGATATGGTAATTGTATAGTGGCTGTTTAAAAAAAAAAAAAAAAACCTATGTTTTAAAAATATATACTGAAATATTTATGAAAGATATGAAGAAAATATTGTAGATACTTCCAAAAAGTGCAATCCTAAACAAGATATTAACTTGCCTTGACACTCAAAAATTTTTTAAGGTTTGGACAATCACTTCACTTACACAAAAAGTTAATTATCTTTCAGTATTATAATTTTCTAATCACCAACTGGAAATTTTTCAGAATACAACATACCCGGACAGCTTGTTCCTTTTTGATGCCTTCTACAATATCAATAGGTTCTTTGACTATTGCATCGGGAGTCTCAGCAGCAACATCTTCAATGTTGACACCACCTTGTGAACTTCCTATTAACACAGGACCCTAGAAAGAGAGGAAACAGACAAAACATCTATAAAACACCAATAAAATTTTAAAACATGTCTGTGCATAATATCAGAATTAAGCATGTATTACTCCCCACCCCTATTTTAAAATGTCCTTGAGAATTTATCGTCCTATCTCCAGCACAGTGCCTCCTTATAAATGTTCAATTTAAAACAATGGAAGACAAGTTAAAAAGAAGAGAAAAATGATGGCTTTCTAGCAAGGGAAAAAGATAAAAAATAGACACAAAAATGTATACCAAAGTAAGCAAATATAAACCCATATATATATAAAATACAACCTATTCATTTTTCGTAAGAACTGAAAGTGACCTTAAAGTATTGCTACAGCATAAACATTAGAAAATCATGAGAACAGATTATTAATATTTGAAAGGGAAAGTCTAAGGAAAAAATCCCAGATTTTACAAGCTCTAGCCCTATGGCAAGTCAATAAAAAAGAAAGCTCACTACCTTGAAAAAATAGCACTGGCTATTATGAAAAATGTAGAAGGTAAGATGTGAATACTAACAATTAAATTGATAACTTAAGTCCTCTAAAAATCAATCAAGAAAGAAATCTTAAACCAAATTATCTAACAGGTTTGCCAATTTATGCATAAAACAGGAAATATCTTAACAGCAAAAACGGGGAAATGGTAAAACCATATTATTAGATTACTTAATAACATATATAGATCAGGAAAATAATGATCTATAGTGGGTTACGCAGTGTATAGTAGGTTATCTACATGAGGCAATTTGCAGAAAATAAATGATACAAAACCCTAGATTGTATTCTCAACTGTGTTATTTTTTTAACCTAAAGTGACACCAAAACAGATAGAAAATAAAACATTAAAAGATGTTTGTGACTATTTTCAAAAAAAATGTTTACAATGAACAAGCTAAAAGTATTCTTACACTCAGAAAAAAAGAATATGACTATCATTTAAAAAATCTAAACATTAATTTCACTTTTTTATCCAAGCATATAGTGTTTCAGAAATATGCTCATTTAAGGTATTATTCAAAGGAATAATGTTGCACTCATTACTACTTGGAGAACAGAATAGTCCTTCAAATACTTGGCAACTTTTTTTGGCAATAATCAAAGAAAATCAAAAACAATCTATTGTCTTTGGCAATAACCAAAGAAAAACAAAAAACAACCGATTACTTAAAAAAAAAATCCCATTTACTAATTTTATTTTTTTTTATTGGAATGTAATTGATTATACATATTCTGGGGTATAAAGTTGAATATCAATATCTGTGTACAATATGTGATGATCAAATCAGGATAATTAGCATATTTATCATAACAAAACATAATTATTTCTTTGTGTTGAAGACATTCAAATCTTCTCTCTTCTAGCCATGTGATAACATGCAGTAAATTAACGGTAATTACAGATGACTAGCTCACTGTACATCAATAGAACTTATTTTTCCTAACTAGCTGTTTTGTGTCCATTAACCAATTTCCCATTATACCTCTTCCATCTCCCCCTTTCCCACCTCTAGTAACCACGATTCTGTTCTCTCCTTCTGAAACTTCAATGTATTATGATTGTTGCTTCTTACTTTCTTTTTTATTTTTTAGCTCCCACTTATAAGTGAGAAAATGTGCTATGTCTCTTTCTGTGCCTGGCTTATTTCACTTGAAATTTTCTTCAAGCTCATCCATGTTGCTGCAAATAGCAGAATTTCATTCTTTTTATGGCTGAGTAGCAATCCATTAGTATATATACCACATTTGCCTTATCCAATTGTCTATCGATGGACATCTAGGCTGGTTCCATATCTTGGCCATTGTAAATAAAGCTGCTGTGATCAACATGGTAGTGCAGGTATCCCTTCGACATGATGATTTCCATTCCTTTGGGTATAAACCCAGTAGTGGGACTGCTGGATCTTATGGTAGTTCTATCTGTAGTTGTTTGAAAAACCTCCATACTGTTTCCTATAACGGATAAATATGGAATGCTTCATGAATTCGCATGTAATCCTAGCACAGGGGCCATACCAATCTCTGTATCATTCTAATTTTAGTATATGTGCTACTGAAGCAAGCACTCTATTACTTTTTAAGAGAATTAACTGTTATTTAGGGAGAAAAAAATTTGTACCATGTGATGAGATTTCAATACACAAGTGTAATAAAGAATTTGGCTGATCTTTGTCCCCAGTGTCTGGGAAATAACTTCCAAACCCTCCAACGACACTGGACAGTTTATGCCAACAAGAAGACTTACGGTGGGCTCCTAGATAGTTTATGCTAAGGAGAGATGACTCAGGTGTGCAATGACCATGTCAGAAAGAGACCAATCATGTGATTAGAGGGCTGGGTTTTTGAGATGTGATATCAGTCCACCCTATAGAGCGGGAAGGGGCCTGAAGATTGAGTCAACTGCTTAGACAATTCAGTCAATCATGCCTACATCATAAAACCCCAATGAAAACTCTGGACACCAACAGCAGCAAGGCAGCAAAACAGGAAACACAGGACCTTGCTCTCTGACAAAAACACCAACTTAACAACAATACATGGACCAAAAAGCCTTTATGACAATGCCAGAAACCTATTAGGGAGTCACAGTACCCCAGGCAAGCTCAAATGCAAGAATCCCTGTATTGAAACCATTAAGAAAAGCCATTTCATTTCATCCACATCAGCACCCCTCCCCCCACCAAACTGACACAGTTTGGGATTAAGAAGAAAACATGAGGCTTCTCCTTTGGGAGGGAAAGAGAAGAGTGAAACATATGTACAACATTCTAGCTTTTTGAAGGCTGTCCAAGGGACTTCTCTCTCACCAAGTGCTTATAGGGAACCAGCATACCACAGACGCCTGTGGCCACTGAAAATAAAAGAGAACACAGAAGCTTATGGCAGCCAAAAAACTTGTAACACTCCAGATAGAAGTTGGCACATCTCACTGCAATGGAGAAAAAGCACCTACCTCATGAAGTTTTATTTCTACCACAAGGAACTAGAAAAATAACAACTAAACCCAAAGTTAGGAGAAGGAAGGAGCTCATAAAGATTAGAGCACAAATAACAGAAACAGAGAATAGAAAAATATCAACAAAATGAAGAGTTGGCTCTTTGAAAAGATCAATAAAATCAACAAAGACTCAAATAACAAAAATCAGAAATGGAAGAGAGACATTACAACTGATGCCACAGAAATAGAAGGATCCTAACAAACTATTGTCATCCCTTGGTATCCACGAGGGATTGGTTCCAGGTCCCCCCTGCATATACCAAAATCCACAGATGCTCAAGTCCCTTACATAAAACGGTGTAGTATCTGCATATTGATGGAGTTTGGATGTGTTGTCCCCTCCAAAACTCATGTGGAAATTTGATCTCCAATGTGGCAGTGCTGGAAACTGATTGAGTCATGTGGGCGGATCCCTCATGAATGGATTGATGCTCTCCCTGTGGGGGGGGCGGGGAATTAATGAGTGAGTTCTCGCTCTATTAGTTCCCGCAAGAGCTCGTTGCTTAAAAAGACCCTGGCACCTTGTCTCTCTCTCTTGCTTCTCTCTCTTGCTTCCTCTCGCCATGTGATCTGCTTGTACCCACCGGCTCCCTGCCACTTTCTGCCATAAGTAGAAGCAGTCTGAGGCCCATGCCAGATGCAGCTGTCCCAGAATCGTAAGCCAAATAACCCTCTCTTCTTTATAAATTACCCAGTTTCAGGTAGTTCTGTTATAGCAACACAAAACGGACTAATACACATATAAACTACACACATCCTCCCATAAACTTTAAATCATGTCTAGATTACTTATAATAACTACTATAATGTAAGCACTATGTAAATAGCTGTTATACTGTATAGTTTTTACTTTATTTCTTGTATTGGTTTTTTTTTTCCAAATATTTTTGACCCACGGTTGGTTAAATCTGCATGTAGAACCCATGGATATGGAGGGCTGAGTGTAATATGAACAATTATATGCCAACAAATTGGACAACCTAGACGAAATGAATAAATTCCCAGAAACATACAACCTACCAAGACTGAATCATGAAGGGGATAAAAAAAAATCTGAGCAGACCTATAAATAGTAATGAAACTGAATCAGTAATCAAAAACCTCCCAAAAAAGAAAAGCACAGCACCAGATAGCTTCACTGGAGAATTCAACCAAACATTTAAAGAAAAATTAACACTAATCCTTCTCAAACTCTTTGAAAAAACTGAGCAGGTGGAAAACTTTCAAACTCATTTTATGAAGTCAGGATTTCCTTGACACCAAAATCAGACAAAGGTAGTAACTTTTTTTGTCTTTTTTTTTTTTTTCGTGACCGGCAACGGATCGCAACCCTCAGTGTCGCGCCCGTATCGGACTGGGACTGGCAACGGCAATGGCAACGGATCGCAACCCTCGGCGTTGCGTCCGCACCTCGCTCAGCCAGTGAGCGCCGGTCTGTATGTGGGATCCGAACCCTCGGCGGGAGCACCGCCACACTCCCAAGCGGCGCACTGTAGCAGTGCGCCACCAGGCTGACCCAAAGGTAGTAACTTTTTGAAGTACCTTTATACAAGAAAACCATGGGCCAATCATCCCTGATGAATACTGATGCAAAAATCCTTAACAGAATACTAGCAAACCAAGTTCAACAAAACCTTAAAAGAAATATATACCATGACCAAGTGTAATTAACTTCTGGAATGCAAGCATGATTCAGCATACAAAGATTAATCAATGTAATATACCACATTAACAGAATGAAGGACAAAAGCAACAATCATCTTCATTGACGTGGAAAAGGTATTTGACAAAATTTAACACCCTTTCATGATAAAAAACACTCAACAAACTAAAATTTACCTCAACATATTAAAGGCCATATATGAAAAGCCCACGGTCAACATCATACTCACTGTTAAAAAACTGAAAGCTTTTCCTCTAACACCAGAAACAAAGCAAGGATGCCCACTTTTGCCACTTCTATTCAACATAGCACTAGAAGTCCCAG